GTCTAATCAAAATATTTCACTAAAAGAACTTCAGAGGGAAATTCACAGAATTTCTCCCCTTGACTTTTTGCAGTAAGAAATGTAAGTTAAAAGTGATAAAAAATGCAAAATGCCTAACTAAAAAGATGTGAGTGACAAATTTGCATATTCCAATATGAAAACCTGGTAGAGTTTAACTATGGTGTGTGAAAAACTGTGTTTAATGTCACAGCTGGGGGTTTGGCTTAGTGTTAGAGCATATGTTTAACATGCTTGAAGCTGTGGGTAAGTGAATGTATGAATTAATAAACAAAATCATCAAGTAAAACAAGGGCAGTGAAACATTCCTAGCTTAAGAATGATGTATCACTTTCTGTGTGGAAAAACAATGGAAAATTTCACAAAAAATAACAATAACCTATAAACATTTTCACATTGGGATTTTCATGAGGACAAAAATATTGGTTGCAAAAGTTATTCTACTTTATTAGTGCCAGCTACTTGGGAGTTTGAGGCAGGAGAATCACTTGACCCAGGAGTTTAAGGCCAGCCTGGGCAACATAACAAGGCTCTGTTTGTAAAAAATCAAATGAAATAAAATAAAGGCTGAGGGTGTAGCTTAGTGGTAGAGAACATTGTGATTAGCCTGCCCAAGGCCCTGCATTCAATTCCCTGTACCAAAACAAACCAAAAACAAAAACAAAAGAAAGAAAAAGTTATTTTATTCTATTTTAAGGCCTTTATACACTGCACTTATATATTTATGCAGAGCACCTAGTGGTTCAGAGTTAATTTTTTTTAATTGTTGATAGATCTTTACTTTATTTATTTATTTATTTATTTATTTATTTATTTATTTATTTATTTATATGTGGTGCTGAGAATTGAACCCAGTGCCTCACACATACCAGGTAGGTGTACTACCGCTGAGCAGCAGCCCCAGCCCCCAGAGTTAATTCTTATTACAAGAAAAGTAGAATATTTCTGTAGTCAAATAAGCATTGATGTTATTTCCAGTAAAGTGAGGAACCATAATTCTGTCCTTAAAGTGTTTGATAAGCAATATAAATTATGAATTTTAAAAGAGGCATTTAAATTTTAAATTTTATTCTAGTGGTTATTCCTATGGAAACTATATTTGGAAGGCTAAGATTCTCCTAGTGAGCTAAATAGTCAATAATAATATTATGTTTCTCTTGATTTATCATACTTACCACTCTGAAGATGATCAGCCAGCAATAATGCATTTCCATAGAGTCCAGGGACTTTGTTGTTGTTTTATACATTCTCCAAATCCAAAAGGCACATTTGCTAATGAAATGATATAATGCTAAATCCCACAGAAACGTATATTCTGTATTCTTGAATAACAAATTTTTAAACACAGACATTCATAATGGAGAGAGGTATTATGACAGAGTCACTTGGGACAATGAACTGATATTTTCTTCTGGCTTGTTGCCTAGCTATCAGTTGGGAATTCCCTATAGCAAAGGGTCTCCAAGGGCTTAAATTGCTAAATAAAAATAAAATGGACTAGTGGTCTTAAGCATGTTTCTACTTTTTTATTGAAATAAATTTTAGTTAATAAGTTTAAGTTAGTGATGTAAACCACCACCTACAAAACTTTAGAGTTTAACTCCTGGTATCAATAAGATGCAATAGAGAAAAATAATTTGTTTCTACTGCAAAATCAAAGAGCTACTAAAGGGAAATAAATACATACGAATTCATGTAATCCATATATTTAAAACATGCATAAAATGTTTATATGATACTTGTTTAGAAATGGAAACAGTCACATTTATTATCACCAGTACATATTTACGTAAGTACTATGATTTAACATCTATATCTGAGAAAGATAGATGTGTTGGTATATTTGGCTCTTTTTAAAAGATATAGTAAATATTTTAAATGTATCACCATTATTAGGACTAGAATATCCTAGAATATCCTTACCAATTAGGATTTGTGAAATGAAGCTTGTCTTAAGATCAAGAACACATAAGATAGGGAAATAAAGAAATACTACAAAACGGATTGGATGAAGGTCAATTTATATTTGAACTTTTGCACTTTTAGTTATCTGATTTTTAATCATGCTGTCTATATTGTCCATTTATACTCACTATCTTACACATGTTCCTGGTGTAATAGAAATGGCTAAAAAAGAATCCCGTATACCTGTTATACAGCCTATATAGTCAACATCTGGATTGATACATTAACTAATTTAGTTTCTTTAGAACATTTTCCTAATATTATTTCCCATTTTGGGAAGACTTTAAAAATTGGCTCCTATATTTTTGGATAAAAGTACTATATTTATTGCTGAACAAATACAAAGTAATACATCTTAAAACATGATCTTAATTTTCATGCAGATAGCTAGGTTAACTATTGCTTTAAATGTTAGATATGGTGTTATAGAATATTGGGGTACAGGGATGTTAGAAGTAATCAAAATTTTAAGCTTTTCTTTTAAAATCTTCACCTAATATTTTAGCGAAGAGCTATCAATTCAACATTAAACTATGGGCTTCATAAAGGCAAAGACCAAGACTGTTTCATTTACAACTACATGTCAAGAACATTGCATAGTGACATGAAAACTATTCTTAAATGAGTGAATAAAGATATTAAATGAGATTCCTTCTATGTTTCTGGCACTGGGAAATTAAAAGATGCACACTATGATCCTTACTTTTAGGATTCTTACTTTATTTTTTTAAAATATTTTTAGTTATAGTTAGACACAATGCCTTTATTTAATTTATTTATTTTTATGTAGTGCTGAGGATTGAACCCAGACCTTCACATGTGTGAGGCAAGTACTCCACCACTGAGCTATAACCCTAGCCCTAGAAATCTTACTTTCTTTGGGAGAAAATATATAAAGATGCTATAATATATGCAAAATGTAAGTATGACAATTTAAGCATATTTCGTGATCTACAAAAGCACCAAATTAAGGGCAGTTTCTTCCGGTTGGTGGAAGTTGGTGGGAGTAGACATCTAGGAAAGACTAGAAATACAGGTGACATCTATAATGCACCCTGAGGTCTGAGTAAGAGTTCACTAGGCAGATGAGGTGGGGTCGCCCAGACAGAGCAAAAACATGTGCAAAGGAGCAGTTATGAAAAAAGACAACATATGATGGTGGTGTGGTCAGAGTATATTGAATGGCTTGGAGGACAGGAGGTACAATTGGGAAGTGAAACCAAAGCCAGGAAGAAAAGGGACACCTATGCTCTTCACGGACTTCATTCTCTAGGCAGGCTTTCTCACGAAAAGGAGTTTGGATTGAAGTTAAAAAAGACTGGATAATTTAGAAATGCCAGTAAAGAAACTGTTCACCTACTTGCCAGTTATTAAAAATGCAATGTTTCTGATATGACAGTTGCACAGAGAAATGAGATTTAAATATGCATTCTACTATCATGTAAGTAAAAAGATACTGAGGATTAGAGCAGGGCATTTGATGAAAAAAAGAGGAAGTATAAGAGATACTTTGAGGTACAACAAGAAATCACATGCAGGCAGTGAAAATGTAGAAAAGTTTAAGGATGAACCTAGAGTTTTTACACTGGGAAACTTGGTGGATTATGATTCATTAGCTAAAATAGAAAACACAGAAAAAAAGACCAGGTAAAAGGGAATAGCAATTGGGGAGTGGAAAAACAGGAGAATAAATGAATTTGGTTTTAGAATAGGTAAATTTGTGATGCTAATGTAATATGGGTTAGTAGATCAGAAGAAAGATCCTGACTAGATTGATAGATTTGTCACCATCCACTCCATTCAAATTGCAAACATTTCAACAAACAAAAACACCCACAAAAACCAAAAACCCATTGGTCTAAAGTTAGAAACTTGGACACATCAATAATTAAAGGTGGATGGAAGTTACAAATCTAGGAAAATAAAGGAAGGAGAAGATAGTGGATTGAATAGTGCCATGAAAGCCAAGAAAGAAAAGAACTTCGAAGGAGGGCACGGTGGCACACTCCTGTATTCCCAGCAGTTTGGGAGGCTGAGACAGGAGGATTGCAAGGTCAAAGCCAGCCTCAGCAATTTAGTGAGGCCCTAAAGTAAAGCAACTTAGTAAAACTCTGTCTCTAAATGAAATATATAAAGGGCAGGAGATATGGCTCAGTGTTTAAGCACCCCCTAGGTTCAACCCCTGGTACAAAAAAAAAAAAAAAAAAAGAACTTCCATGTAGAGCCTACTGACACATATGCCAAATACATGAGAAATTTTGGAAATTTAACTTCTTTTGAATTTGATTCTAGAAGGACTTTGGCGGTTTGACATTGGATTAGTAAACACAATATGCTTCATGCTCCTGATTTCAAAATGATTCTTGTAAATATATGTTATTTCTTTACAAATACATTGACCATCATTTTGCCAGGGGGAATTTACCTTTGGACAATACTATTCCAAATATATAATTTTTTGCTCATATCCACAGTGGGCTGAGGCAACTAGAAATTGAATTATATACACTGCCTTCTAAGGGCAGGGTAGCATTGATGGTTTAATTTCATAGTATCATAAAGTACCCACTTCATATAACTTGGTTAGCAAAAAAGGCCAAAACCTGGACTCCTGGATCTTGACAGGTGTTAAATTTTCTCTATTCTGATACTAAATAACACAAAGAACACACTCCCACCCCCCACCCCCACCTCCACCCCCATACACCCGTGTATATCATACTACTTTAGTACGGTTACATTAATTTACTAATGGTAAAATCAAAATTACTGTTTGGCCCCGTAACTTTTTAATATTTCATTTTATATCACTGAAGATAGATGATTATTACATTGCCATCTTTTCTTGGAGAAAACACCATGTGAAAGAAGACTCTGAATTGGTAAAAGAGGGACTCATTTCTATTGCTTAGGGGCCCTATTTTTAACTTTGTGGGATGAAAACACTGCACTCAAGTTTAGATTAGAACCTTTTCTGGATCTTTCAAAGGGCTCTGGAGCAAAGTAGGAACTGGTACCTTGACTTTTTCGAGGTGATCTTGGAGAGAGTCAATGAGGAGATCGCCCACGGGCTGCCAGGATCCCTTGATCACCTCGGCCTGGCGCAGCTTGAGATCCAACTCATCTGTAGCTTCCTGAAGTTCCTGCAGTCTTTCAAGGGCCTCATCTATTTTCCTCTGCCAGTCAGCAGAGTGCAGGTTCAATTTTTCCCACTCAGTGTTGACCTCCTCAGCCTGCTTTCGTAGTAGCCGAGTGACATTCTGGGCTCTCTCTTCAGGAGGCAGCTCTAAATTGGCAATGCAACAAGGTTTTAGATCACATTCATTTTTTTTTTTTAAATCAAACATTGTTGAAAAGGTCAGACTAGAAGAAAAAAAAGAGTACAGTTTAACAAGAGGCCAACCTACTGATTAATGACTGCTTTACACTTTGGCATAGGTTTTGATATAGTTCAGAAACATCTAAAGTCTGTCTTCCTCAGTGAATCTGTTCTATCTTATATTAATCAGATAATCCAGATTCATTTAAGCTATTGAAAAAAATGTTAGGATGCACACCACAAGCTCTAATTTTCTTCAGTCAGGCTCTTAAATTGAAAATTAGCTTGTAGTTTTTGAAACAATAGAATTCATTCTCACAGATAAACTCTTTTGTTTATTATTTTCTAAATGTTCCAATAATGGATCACTAATCTCTTTTAATGTTTATTTATGGATGTGCAAACAGATTTATGCATGGTGGTTTATGATTCCTTGTTCTTTTTCAACATCCATGTTTAATTTGAATTGATTCTGTTTAACCTGGAAAATATGAGAGCTATCCAGACCCAGGCAGCAAGAATGGATGGGCCGCTCTGTCACCACTGATCCTTCTATCAATATGTTATTACAGTTCCACATTCAATTACCTCTGGGCTCCTGGTAGAGTTTCTCTAGTCCTTCCAAAGGCTGCTCTGTCAGAAATATTCGTACAGTCTCAAGAGTGCTCATGATTACAGGTTCTTTAGTTTTCAATTCCCTCTTGAAGGCCTGTGAAATGAGATGAAAAGAAATGTTTATTTGGCTTGTGGCATTCTTCTCAAAATTAATCCTGGATGCTCAGAACTTGTTTATGAAACTCCCAGGTCAATTTCTATCTTCTTTGTTTGTAAACTGATAGTCATAAATCAACAAAGAAGGTTATTGGGTCTTTCTGTTAATGAGGAAACCAATGTGTTTGTAAAACTATTCGAGGGAGAAGGAGGAGCTTTCAAGATACTTGATGCCCTCTCATTATGATAAAAGCACTTTGTTTATATAACCTGACTGTCAAACTTAAAATTGAGAGCTAAAGTTGCAAGGTATTTATTGCAAAAACCCAAACATGTCTAATGAGGATTTAAATACACCCAAAATAATGGACATTCAAAATGTAACAGGAAGCTGGAACTACCATTTAGAGGTACCAAGGCTTTACTGAAGTATACAGTGAATCCAAATTGATAATCACCAGTTAATTCTGTCAAAATGTCTGACAGTGACTAAAACTGTATATTGAAAGTAAGCTAAGTAAAACTGTCAGTACTTTCAAAAAATACCCATTATATTATTCATTGTGACCTCTCTGAAAAGCAGAAGTGTTCTGAGCTGATGTAGTAATTGTGGGAAGAAGTTTCTATAAATCAAGAGACTTAGGTGTCTTTAGGCCATGTAATCTAGCTATCAATTTTAATATCAAATCTATAATTTCCCTTGATACAGGGGATTAAGAGAAAAACCTGAAGCCATAGTTTCTGCCTTCAGGTAATTATTAAAACAAAAAAGAAAACAATATGGCTGAAGGTGTAGCTCAGTGGTGGAGAGCTTACCTAGTATGCATAAGGCCCTACATTTCATGCCCAGCACTGACCTCCCCAAAACAAACAAGCAAACCCCAAACAGCAACAACAACAAAACACAGAAGCCTAACACACTAGAATCAGAGTAAAAAACTATAAATTCATATATAATCTAGTACTAAGAGGATGGTGGGGCATACTGCAAGACTAGACTAAATTAACAAATACTATGAAACCATTAAAGAAAGTTATTGACCAGGTTCTGTGATCTCAAAAGTGAAGGTGCTAATAAAATATTAAGTATTGCATAAATGGTAATATATTTATATAACAAAAACAGCAATAATAATTGCCCTGACCTAGGGCTTCAATATGCATGTCTTTTTTTTCAAATCTGCTTTATTTTTAGCAATGCTTGCTACTGAATTTGAGCATGTTCTGTCAGTAGGGAAAAAAACTCACTACTATCCCCCTTTAAACTTCAGAATACTATTATGATACAGAAGTGCTCCAGACTGGATTGTATGAAATGTTTATCAATACAATCTTCATGTTACTCATCATTCAAAAGAATCCTGAGTCTTATACTTTGCAAAATGATTCGTCTTCCATAGTTATTTACAATTCAATTGAGAGAGGCAAGGTATTTGAACTAAAATAATGGAGTTGTACAAAATGGAATATTAGGATTCAGACTGTGTATAGGGAAGTAATTTCTGTATTGTAGGATATTCTTGTGTCCTTGAAATCCTACTGGGTAGGTGGATTATTTACTCTGCTTGCATAGAAGGTTGATTCTATCTCTAATATTTCAATTGCAATCTGCATGTGTGTGTTTATGCTTCTGTATGCGTATGCACTTCTTGTAATCCTGTATGTTTTCCCACATTTAATTTTCCTAACTTCAAGAAAATTATCATTTTGCCTGGTTTCTTCATTTGGATTTGACAGGAGGCAACTGATACTCCTAATTATAAAATAATGGCTACCTTTGTTGAACTATTGTATATCAGTGATTGTATTAGAGAATGGGAATCCAAAGCTGAATGCAAAACAGTTCTTCTCATTTAAGAACTTGAAATATATAACGGAAGAGTCAAACATATGAATCACTTCAATATAATGTGGAAAGTGCTACTGGTATGTACAACCTCAGAAAAGCATCCCAGAGAAGATAGTAATAATTCAGAATTCGAAAATATGGCCATGAGTTAGTCAGGGAAGAATGGGTTATAGGACATTCCAAGAAGAGAAAAGTGCTAGTACAGAGAGATAATAGACATAATATCTTTATAGCATGTACCAAGATCTTTAAGCATTCTCATGTTTCTAGAACATACAGAACAAGGAGAGAACATGCCCTGAGATGAAGCAAGTCACTCTCATTATTGGGCAGTATATTAGATCTTTTAGGTAGAATTTGAAGTTCAGCCTCTCTATGAAATATAGCCCATATATAGTTTGCTAAAAGCCTAGGTGTTATGGTATAGGTAATTAGCATCCCTTGAAAAGATTTAAGAGCTGCATGGAACAGGCATATGAATGTTTCAAATAGATCTTCCTAAAATAAATACAGTACTCCCCCCTTACCCATGGTTTCACTTCTCACAGTTTCAGTTACCCATCGTCGACCACAGTCTGAAAGGGTAAATGAAAAATTACAGAAATAAATAATTCATAAGTTGTAAATGTGCACTGTTCTCAGCAGCATGATGAAATATTGTACAGTCCTGTTTAATCCTCCCTGGGATGTGAATCATCCTTTTGTCCAATGTATCCATGTTGTTGTATACATTACTTGCCTGTTAGTCACTTAGTTGTCTCACTTTTCACAATGACAGACATGATTTCCATAGCACTTGAGTTCAAATAGCCTTTATTTTACTTAATAATGGCCTCAAAGAGCAATAACAATGAAATTAGCAATTTGGATATGACAAAAGGAAGTTGTAAAGTGCTTCCTTTAAGTGAAAAGGTGTAAAATTTCAACTTAAGGAAAGTTTTTTTTAAAAAATCAGGCTGAAGTAGTTAAGTTCTAACGTCAGTTACATTGTTAATTTCTTACTGTGCCTAATTCATAAGTTAAACTTTATCATAGGTATGTATATAAAGGAATGTACACAGTATATATAGAGTTATCTTTCAGGTATTCATTGGGGGTCTTGGAACATAATATTTCCCCAAGATAATCGAGTACTACTACACAGATTGTATATCTGAGAAGGGCAGAAATGGATTCAGAGAAACAATGAGAGACAATTGCAAGAATTCAGTGATAGAATATGAAAATGTGACCAAGGGCAGGGGTACCAAGGGAGAAAGAAAACAGGGAGAGAATGGGGAAATGTTTAGAAAATAGAGATATGGGGATCTGGTGAGCAGATAGATGCTTTAGAGAAGTGAGAAGAAGAAACAAGAAGGACTCCTAGTTTTTATTCTGAGCAGATGTGTAAACAGTGGGTACAGTGAGACAAAGTATGAGAAAATAAACTTTCCTACAAAAGGCTCTAGCCTCCTGAGAACTTTCCCATACAATGTGAATTAGATCTGTAACCATTTGTCTAGTTAATTTCTATGATCCAAGAGGGCCAAGTGAATATACCCCAGAGCAGATTTCCTGGCTAAACTCCAAGTTGTCTGAAAGACTAGAGTGGCTATCTCTCTTGGTAATCACATTTCAAAAAATATGAAGCCTAGACCTTTGAGACATTTTTAGATTGAGAAATGTGAGACACATGGGGCAGCTAGCTGGTTCCTTGAGAAGCTGGAAGTAGACTCAGGCCCCATATGCTTCTAATGAGAATCTTTCAGGAAGAGAAGGACACCTGCATCCTTCTCCTTTATAAACAGAGAAAAATAAAAATTTTCATGCAAGTAGAAATTTCCTAGGCTCTTGTTTGTGGTCTCTGCAGCCACTCAAACAGGAAATATTTTATCAACATTCATCATGTCACCACCGGGTCAAGTTTCTTTAGGCAGAGGAGAGGGAGAAAACAATATTTACTATAAAGTATTTAAAAGAAATTTGGCTCTGATACAAATATCTCATGTGTATTCAGGATAAAATTAATAAATACTAATATAAAAGCTTGACCCTAAGGGAGAATCCTGTATAGGAAACAGAGTAACAGGACATGAAATGTTCAACTTGGAGAGGTAAGATTCATTCCACAAGGAAATGATAAAGTCACTGGAGAGAAGAAAAGGAAATTCAGGAGTCATTCTCTCATTCAGATAATATATACTGAGTGCCTATATATCAACATTTAATGAGTAGAGATAAAAATAGAATCTCAAAAGAACAAAAATTAATGGAAAAGTGGAGAGTGTGGGGTAAATGAGGAATACAGAACTATTGAAGAGAGTGACAGTTTGGAATAGTAAGAAGGAAACCAAGAGTGAGCAATCATGACACACAAAGGTCAAGCCAGATCTGCACTGAAAAGTGTTCATTGGACTTGGTAAGAGCGGTTTAGCAGAGGGCAATAGTCTAAGAAGTAGAATTAGCCGAGGAAGGAGAGGAAGAAGAAGTAGGTATTTCCAGTGAAAACTACCTTATTTTTTTCTGATAAGAAAAAGAGGACAATAGGACAAGAAGATAGAGGATATGAAAAGGAAGAATGCTCTTTTTAGGATAAGAATAATTTGAACTTAGAATGAATGACAGAAGCTATCAATAGGGTAACCAATACTCTTGGTTTTCCTAGCACTGAAGTTTTCAGGATATGAACCTCCAACGTTAAAACCAGAACAGTTCCAGGAAAATTGATCAGTTCTCAGAAAACCAAGATAGTTGGTAATTGCAAATAGAAAAAGATATATTAAAAAACTGGACAGGAGAAAGTAGAGGTAATTTTTTTGGGGGGGAAGGTCTGTAAAATAAGGAAATGCATCTTAAAGGTCTCATCAAATTTAAAATGCCCAAGATACTATTTGATACAATTTCATTGTTGAAACTAAAAATTAAATAATTTGAGGCGAAGGGCCATCCATTGTGAGAGACTACTTGTTTGCCCCTCGAGTTGTTGCCAAGGACTTAGTTCCACCACAGCTGCACAGTTCATTTCTTAAATATGACTCATTGAGGATTAAAATGAGTTTAACAAAAAGACAAAGGAATTTCTGTCATTACAAAGACATAAGCACCATTATTTTCACATCATTGCTTGAAATTAAGAAAAGAAAGTAGATGGAAGAGAAGGTTGCATGATT